ACTGCACACCAGCTCTGCCTATCTAGGTCACCTTGCACTGTTCAGGGGGTGTTGCCACTATGAGTATTAATGTCACAGGGAAGCATATCATTGTGGGAAATTTAGTTTTCCATGCCCTAAATTGTAGTTCCCACTTTGAACAGCAGCCTGTAATATACACAGGCTGCTCATAGAGCACAGAGGCGGGCATTTCAAAAGGAGCCATGAGGAGACTAAGAGGACAGCTAACAAAGTAAGTTTATATGTTCATATACAGCAACTGAATATGTCTGCTTCATGTACACTTGGTGTACATTACTGGCATGTGTTTAAAAAAAAATACATCTGTAAAGGTGGACATGGGCTTTAAGATATCAGCCAAATAAGAATGCATTGTTTTTAATGAGTAAGCATCACCTTCATATAAAATTAGCAAATATGGTGGCCCATATCCAAATTAGATTACAAATTATACATAGCAACTTTAAAAAAAAATAATGATATACATGAAATAAATGACTTACATAATGCAGATCTATTTAAATGAATATAGTACATCTGCTGAAAATCACAAAATATTTTCTCATCTTCACCTTTAACAGAATGAAGTTAAAGTAGTAAAACTTAAATGATTTGAAAAATGACAGTGACAGGCACTAGACTGTCTCATTTAAAGCTATAAATAGTGCAATGATGCTTAAAATAGAATTTAATGACCCAGGCTGCCTTGGAGCTGAAGAACACTCAGTGGGTCGAGGAACCTACCTGCTTCATAATCTCTAAAAGTTCATGAAGTTCTAGTGTTTGAAGTTATTCAATGTTTTTCTCTCCTATATATTAAAGGCATCAGTAAATAAAAGAGTGAAGAATGTAAGCAAACCCATAGAAAACATGAGCAACAAGACATAAAGATTGTGGCAGAAGTGGGCTTAGAATTGAAAAACAACATTGCCATTGGGTTTGTCCATAGGAATGTCACAGCATAGAAGCAATAATATATGGTATATTTATAAATATAGGGTTCAAACAAATGTTTCACCTTTCCAAGAAGATAATTAGGTTAATATAAAAAAATAAATAAATCAGGTGCTTAATTGATAGATGAGTTTTTAAAAATTCATTTTTGTATAGATGATACCCAAAATGTGATACATGCAGCTGAAACTTCTGCCACTGGTATTATGCGTCATAACAACATGCAATACTCATAATACATTTTGCTCAGCCAGTGAGAGCTTTTGCAAATGAGGGAAAGAAAAAGCTATAATATAAATATAATCGTTGTATTTTAAAAGCTTAACTGAAAGTCTTACAATATACAATATAAAATGTATTCAAATTAGCAAACATTGGTTTCTGCTATAACAGAAAAAAAATCTAAAGTGTGCTGATGCAATTTATGAATTCATCATATACCAAGTATTTGGATTCAATGAGAAGGGTAATATTATAGAGAAAATAAATTCTAAGCACATTAAAACATAGCTCCTTATGCACTTGAAAAGCAATCTGCCAACACAATAGGGAATGGAGCACAAAAAATGGATAATGAGTATAAGTATATAGTTGTTGTTATTATTATTATTACATTATATTTTTAGGCAGTCTGTGACATCAGAGGCTTTCACTGCAAAGCAAATAAAACAAAAGAATGACATAGGCTTTAGCTGATCACCCACCCGCCTCACGCTTCTCCTCAATGGGGCGAAATGATCTGCATTTGGTGTGCAGGAGGTCCGTTGAACTCCTCCAATGTTTGGCCGTTAATCTGATCCCCACTGCCAGGGCACTGCCATGGTGGACATTTAACAATGCATAGGACATAAAGATCACACCAGAACAGAACCGGTTGCAGCTGGCCATCCTTGTCATTTCTCACTCTGCTATAAGCTCATGGTCACTTATATCAGAATGGTCCCTCTGATTAATAGTTGAATAAAATAATAGCTATAAGCAGTAGGTGGCAAGCTGCAGATTATAGCTATCAATTTAAAATATGAATTCTTACCCACCCAGTGCCACCTGCTGCTCTGCCCAACACAGATCCTCCCCACTAAGAGCCAGCAGACACCTCCACGCTGTGTCCCCTGCACAGCCACTGTCTCTGCTGTGCCCTCCAATCTCTCCAAATGAATTGGTTGCCCTAATGCAACTCATGTGCATCACCACAGTGAAAAGATGTGAACCTAGACTTAAACGCCTCCCCCCACCACGCACACATTACACATGCATAAAATAAATACACATTTCGCATGTTGTATCACTGTGGTGTCCTAACTCACTAAGGGCCCATTCACACCAGCAGAAATGCATTATAGTGCACATTATGCATGCACTAGTGTGTGTTGTGCACATGCGCTGCAGTGCAACAATGCATCACAATTCTTGAGTTTTTTTCCTAAACTTTTTACAATTACATTTATTCAATGATATGCATCGCATTGTGACTCATTGCCACATGTTTTAACGCTCTGTGTTGTTATAAAATGTATGCCTGGATTGGTTTATCACAATAAACACTAACAGCACACGCATGGCACTGTGGATCAGGCATTATCACAAGGCATACAGCTTTGTGTTAATTTTATTTTTACAGTTTCTCAGAAAGGCACAACATAAACGTTATACATATTTGTTATTTAATAGTTTTATACAGTTGTATCTTTTAGATTTAGTAGGAATTTTGTCATATTGTGTTTGTATGCACTACTAATCATTTTAGTAATTTTTTATCAAAAAGATTATTTCATAAACATTTGCACAGCTATCACGGGACATACAAAATCAATAGCACAATCTTTTTATTCTACCATTCCTGTGCTTTCAGAAAATATATGGTTTGGCGGTATTTCACAAACTTTGAAAGCTGTATGTGAACAATTATTTAAAGGAGAACTATGGGGTCAGTGTTTTTCCCCATAGTTCTCCTTAGGGTAACGGGAGGACACAAACTAGCATCCTCCCGTTACCCTAAGCTCTGTATACCGTGAGCTAGAGCTCGCGGTATACTGAGACGCCGGAGCGGATCCCGACCTGGACCTACCTAGAGGCAGAGCCAGCTGTACCCACCCCCTCCCCCGTCCGTTCTGCCAGTCAGCGCTGGCAGATCGGAGCGGGGAGAGGGGAATCCAGCCCCTCCCCCTGTCACGGCAGAGAACGGTAAAAATAGTCTGGTCTGGTCTTTTGATGTCAAGAGTGGAGCTCAGGGCCTGGCAGAAAAATGGTAAATAACATACTTGGGGGGTGCTCTAAATCTGCTTGTGAAATGGTGCACCTGTATGATGTATACAATATAATACAGAAAATTTGACATTTAAAAGAAGTAAAAAATGTAATTTAAATTGCTAGTAGGTTACATTTCCTAACTGCTTTACAAAGTAGCCAGGATTCCATCTGTCTATACCAGAAATGTATGCATGGACCCAGAATCCATTCATACTTACTATAGACTCCACTGGAAAAAAACAACATTTCCTCTCCCCAAAATCCATACCAGATCCTGCTTGATCCCAATAAAATCTACATGGCAAATGACAGATCCTGGTTGAATGAAAATAAATAGGTGGAAGCTATCTGATATCATTGCCCAAATATGGCCATAATCATATTTGGTCAATGATGCCAGACAGCTCATAGCCTCTTTGTCTACATTTATATGGAAGCTGTCTGCCACCAATGAGCAGATACAGCCATGACCATATTTGGTCAATGATATCACCTGGGATGCCTACCACCTTTTTTACAAACCAGCCACTATCAGCTAATGACACTATGCAGCCTACATAGCAGGAAGTGTGGTAGTAATACTGCCAATAAATGTAAAACTGCAGCAGAATGTTTGGGCTGGCAAACCCACCAAATAGGTTGGCCGGTTTAAGAACTACCAATAGGGAAAGTTTAAATCGAACCCTACATTGGGCTGAATCTAAGATCAGCCTTACTTTTCGATGGCCTATTTTGCAGTAAATTGGGCCATTAACAGTGACAAATCTGACAGATATAGACAATCCAAGAAAATGACTGGTCATATGAGAGCAGAATAAACAGGTCGATGCAGCCTGAACACTCACTTTTCTCTAGCTGGTGAATTGTACTACACAGGAAAGGTAAGTGTTAGACGCAGAGGAGTGGGCTATAAATAGAACCAATTGCTTTGCCTTGAATGACAGATTTACTTTAAAGTTTAACTAAATCCACTGAGGCTCCCTGAAGCGTTGCCATAATGTGAAAGTATGCACATTTACAGGCTTATTCACAAAAGGATAAAGAGTTTGGAGAAGGCAGGAGTAGTGAACAATCTAGGCCAAAATAGCTGATTTGTAAAAAGTCTCCAATTCAGCTCACTTTCCAGTTCAGCTATGTTGTCCTAGATTGTTCACTTCTCCTGCCTTCTCCAAACTCTTCACACTTTTGTGAAAAATCCTGTTGGGCCTGCTAACTATTTTTTTTATTTTTAACTTTATTTAATTCAGTTTTAAGTATAACATTATATGGGACATAACTGTGAAGTTGGTTAAGGCAATCATTTCAAAACTAAAGATATTCACAATGAAGATAGTATCATGGGGCTCAAATTATGCTATATACAACAGACTCTCTGTGCAGCAATCCCATAACAAACTACCCATTGTTGCTAGTAAACCTCTTTTAACCTAAAATAAAGGATGACACAACCATAGATTGTGCAGTAAACTAAAGAACAATGTCAGTGTTTGTATAGGCACAGGTAGTTGTATATGGATATAACTTTCAAGACAGCTCAGGTGTCTTTTTTCATGCCCAAAGAAGAGATATAAGTTGCCTTTAAAGCCTGCAGTTTTAATATACTCAGTCAGCCACAATTATAATGACTTACTGTGCAATTAAACAGTTTTAGTCTTAAAGGTCCATTTGATGACACAAATATTCTCAGTGGAAACAACAAAACTTTGCGCTGTTCTTTAGAGAATACACTTGCCAGACAATAAACATTGGTTTTGTATGTTTAGGTAAACAGTTGTGCTGCAAATTTAATTAAATACCTTTCCGAGAGTGAAACAACACTCTGATGGAAGTGATGACACATGAACACAGCTTCATTTCTGATTTCCTGTGACATTTCCACATCGTCGAGAAAATGATTTGCCACCTTTTCAAGTGCATCTTCAGGCCATGCCTGGTTGATATTACATAGAAAAAAGCACTAAGTCAAATACCAATCAACACACAACAAAACAATTTTACATATATACCATTTATGGATGTATTTACATTAATAGGACATTGAATGTCAAATGTGAGAATGCATATAAGAAAATCCAATGTACACATCTTTAGCAATCTGTGGTGTCGTGGTTTTCTGTGAAGCAATAACTTCACCCAAAACTAGACTAAATACTGTAAGCTGTGACTGACATTAAAGGGCTTTCTACCTCTAGCCATGATAAGTAGACATTTGGATGCATCCAAATTTCTGAATAAAAAAAAAATGATTCAGAGCGTATCCGAATCTTCCAATAATGAAAATTTGGGATGCATCCAAATCTTTTTCTGAATGTCATTATAAATAAACGTTAAAATAAAAAAAAGCATAGAGTCCCCTCTTCAATTCATACAAGACAAAAAACAAATGTATGGGGTCACCCCTAAAATCCCTTACCAGACCCTTGATACAAGCAGCAGCCTGGCAGAGTAGGAAAGGGGGTGACCAGTGCCACCCCCTGCACCATACTAGGGCACATGCCCAAGACACGGGTAGGGTGCTTTGCCAGGGGTGACCCCTGGCAAAGCACCTTGGCCCTATGTCGATGAGGACAAAGGCCTCTTCCCACAACCCTGGCTTGGTGGTTAAGGGGTTTTGTGGGCAGTGGGGCTTATCTGAATATGGATGCCCCCTTTCATAAAGGAGTAACCCAGAGGCCACCCCCCCTCGTGAATGAGTAAGAGGTAGTTGGTACTACCTAATCATTTACCAAATAAAAAAAGTCACATTGTAAATAAACACCATACCGTAAACAAAAGTCCTTTAATTGAAAGGAAAAAAACCAAAGGTTTTTGACAATGTAATCTAAAGGTCAATCATGTTGTTCACCTCTGCTGCCAAATGCTAAGGGCTAAGGGGGGAATACCATGCTTTTTTTATTGTTTCTGTGGACTGTCAAAAGTTAAGAAAGATTTCACTTTATTTTTTCCAATGTCACTTTACTGCAGCAAAAATTAATGTGTAATTACCTAAGGCATCTGAAATTAACAAAAATTTCGGATTTGTCAGAATCCCAAAACGAATTGACTTTTGGACTTGAATCCCAAAATAATGATAAATACATACCGAAATGCAGGCTCACATGTCTAAAGATAAGGCAACACCCTATTGATCATCTGTTCTTATTTACATAAAAGTGCTTTGGGGCTTTTGGATTGCCCAGGGCTGCTCAGCCTTTTCCATCAGCTATGAAACTAACGGATGGACTCAGCAACTTAATTTGTTATAGAGAATTCTAAGGCTATTTGTGATCCTAAATCCTCCCAACACTGTGTTATTATTGTCCCAGAATGTATACATCATTTTAAAAACATAAATAAGCATAAAAATGATATGTCTTCTTTATTTAGAAAAAACATATTGAAATAAGGTTATACAAGGCAGGTACTCTGACAGGCTATTGAAGAAACATGAAAAGAACCTGTAAATAAATAGGATAACAATAATGCAGACTGGAAAGAGACAAACATCTACAATTTTTTTAACCGACCAACAAATAGTAAGTAACCATTTGCTCATTCAGGTAAAGTTAAAGATTCCTAACTACACATTTTCAAAACATCTGCTTTTTTATTAGTGTCCCCCACATCCTCTGGCTTCCCATGTGTCACTTCCTCAAAACTTCCTGTTGGAAGTAACATGCAACTAACAGGCTTACTATTTATTAGTCACCATACCAGTTTAATCAGGAATTCATGTCCCATTATGCCTGGATTTACCTCCAAAACCACTGTGAATAATTTTCCTTATGAGGCGTGCATTTGGATTTTGTTGTTCTCCCGGACAGCCTGTATGTATTGGTGCAAGCACTGTATACACATCGCCATGTAGTCTGACGATATGAGCCTGCACGCAATAGTGGCTCTAAGGGAAAAGAGCATCCCTAACCCTGGAAACAAGAGCTACTGCTTAATGAGGCCACCTAATTGAGTAGTAAAACAGAACTTTTGAACATCTAAGAGCAATATAGACTGTAAATATTGCACTTAGAATTATAAATAGCAAAGAGAAGTTTTTACTTTATTTTCAATTTAGGATTGGCCAGCAACTGCATAGATAATTCGATATGCAGATAGAGCAGTACAGAAGATTTTTTTAAACCTTGACACTAGAAGACACTTGCATAAAAGGCACACAAAATTTATGGAAGAATCAGGACAAAAATAAAGCAGCAGATACAAATATAAACATAGATACCAATGGAAAGCTATCACCATACTGTACATTATATGCACATATTGCATTTAAATTATTTATATTTATAGAGGATATATAATATACATGTAGCACTTTGTCCAATTTTCCCTAAATTCAGCAGGAGTTTTCAAAATCATGTTGGAATCTTGAGTTTGTGAACACTGGTATTGATCACATTACTGGATACTAAAACTACTTGCAATATGGCATGTGGAGGCTGCGAGAGCCACTATTCCCAGCTGAAAAAATAATCAAATGTTATGCAGGCATGGATCTTTGGCAAGTGCTAAAAGTCTGTTAAGACTTTTCTAGCACTTGGTGATGTTTTACTGGATTCCCATATTAGTCTATTTCAGATAAATCATATTGTATCTACTGTATAACACCAGTAAATTCATAATCACCTGAAACCAGTCGATTGTGCAGCTGTTTACTAGAGATGTATAGTGACGAAGCTGATCACGGAAAGCTTTTCCTGTAGGACTAAAGGCCAGTACAATATGGAGGTTTCTTCTGATGCGGTCTTTGAATATCCTGTACAGATCAGATGTTGTATTTTCATTCTGAGTCTCAGTAGCTGGCAAAAGTTGACGCATCTGTTAAAATGAAAGAAAGGTTTAGCACCAACTGTTATTTTAGGTAGACTGGTATAAATCACAGCTTTTAACAAAAGTCACTGGGGCACAATTTACTAGCAATGTCAACATCATTGTACATTACATTTTGCCTTAAGAAATTATTTCATAGCAATATTTTTCCTCAAAATTAAGCTGCCAAAGGTGGGTTGATTTTTCTACAAAGGCTCCAAAATTAAGCTTTTCTCTGAATGACTGAAGCACTACTTGAAAACAGCAATATATTCCTTTATACTCAAATATTTTTTATGATGTGGTTGCTAATAGTTTTTACTTTGCACTGTTGCACAGAAGTGATCTTTTAGCATCTAACCTGATTTCCAGTTACACATGTGGTTTTAGAAAAGCCATGCTGTCTAGTGTTTAATAAATCTCCAGGCAGCAGGAACATTTTTTGTCCAAAAAATCATATTTTACTACCCCCTCCAACTTGAATGCTTTATGTATGCTTTATGTCTTACATACACAGTGAAAAGGATGTACCCTTCAGTGCATACTTAGAGCATGATTCTACATCTTAATGCCTTCAAGCACACTTTCTTTTTTGAGTGCCCCGGTACGAGAAATATTGAGGATTCTGGACATGGCAAACAGCAGTTTACCCCATTCTGCTCTCCTCAGCTCCCTATTGGCCAGAAGGTGTCATGGGCTCTCTCACTGGCCAAACCAGAGAGCTGAGAAAAGGGGTAGTCAGCAGTGCAAGCCTGAACTATCTGGTTGCACCAGATCTTAAGGGTACTGGGGTGCTACACTTGCTACATTACAAACTAAGATCTCTGGAACTAAAACTTAATTTTATTTTGAATCTTTAAACTACATAACCCTGGGCAAATCCAAGCATTCTCTCCATCACCTTGACCAAGTTTGGAGATAAACACTACTTCTGAATAAAAGACATACTGAGCAAGTTAAAGGGATATTATTTTAGAAAAAGTGAAAAAACACCGGCGCCAACACCCGCAACACTTTAAGCACACAAATTGTGAGGCAGCTCCCACTGGTCAGGGTTACCGGCATTCTAGAAGACATAAAACAAAAGGAGCGCCTCCATAGTGTAAAACAGTATTTAATGTAAAAAGGAAGACAGCTAGGACTGTAATTACAAACGATTATAGAACTCAGGCACGTAAGAACGGTGGGCTTCGCTGCCCATCTCTCCTGTTTCCTTTTTTTGCTGGCAGAAGCTAAAATGTTGAGTTATGCCGATATCCTCCTCCATGTTCAAATTTTCACAGGCAATGTGGCCTGTTGCGAATGCTGAGTGGATTTTTTGTGCCGGCCACCCATTGATGGGTTTCAGCTGGTGCAGTTTAGAGGAGCCTGCAGTGATGGACTGACAATTAGAGATTGGTTTTGCGGTCCCATGTGACCGGTTTAACGGACAACCATGATTGGTTGCCTTTTAAGACTTAAGAGCAGGGTAGAGAGGAGTTTTCCATAGGTTCTGATGAAGGGGGCGTGGCCCCTGAAGCGCATAAACCCGTGGAACACTTGGGGGCAGAAGACTCTTGTTTAATATCAACTTTCCAGACTGTCTTTGTTTGGGATTTCGTTCACCCATCGTTGCTACATGCCTGAGTACTAGAATCGTTTGTAAGTACAGTCCTAGCTGTCTTCCTTTTTTCATTAAATACTGTTTTACACTATGGAGGCGCTCCTTTTGTTTTCTTCTAGGATATTATTTTAGCTTGGGGAGGGAAGTGCAGAGAAATGTCATGAGGGTTGGGGACTTAGGTACAGGAGGTAATTGGAATGTTACCAACTAAGGTAGCTAAAGAGAATATGAAGTCTGGATTCATTATAAAGAATAGTATCTCAGGGGCAGTTTTTCATATTTTACAGTGGGATCCCAAGAGAAATAAAGATGTAAAAAATACAGTTACTCATAGCAAACTGATTTCAAATGACTAGTTGAGCATGCTCTCTGCACATCCTCATCACTCTTTGCATCTATTTCCTACTGCAGATTCAGGGTCCCTGTGCTTTTATTATGTATCATGGCTCCAGACTTAACTCCTATTACTCCCTTTGCAGCTAACATTCCCATTACCTCCTTTATCTGAAACTCCAAACCTCACAAGGAAAGGGGCACAGTTGCAATCTTTACTATCGCTGTTCTACTTCAGTAGTGTTTAAAAGGAAACTACTGATTAATTATTACATTTTAATGGGGCATAAAAACAGCTGAATCTGATACTACTGGTTACCTTTCCAGAAAACTAGGTAATTGCTGTAAATTGTTCTATTTGTCAAATGCAGCATTAGTAGTTATCATATTATTTTGATTATTGCTTGTGATCACATTTTAGTTTACTGACATAAGGTAAGGATGCTTTTTCATTAACTGCTATGGAAATGTAACCTATGCACCCTGTTCTTATGTCCAACTGAATTAGCCAGTTGCTTTGCGAAAGATGCTAAGCATCAACCTTCCCCTTACACACGAAGTTCAAAACATACAGGAACTACTTAATAAGAACTTTCACAAAAATTCCATCACCACAAAAAAGTCAAAAAATATTTGTGGCATTGTCATGACAACAGCCAGCTTACAATGCCTACCAATTTGTGCCCCTTTTTTCATACAAATTGCTTCTGTACTCCCTGGATATTACCAAACCCATTAACCTTCTATATGTAATAGTTGAATCATTTTCTCTCTTGGATGTGTATGGTACACATATGTGAGTATTTCAACTGCCCTGGGTTAATTTGGGCTTTTTGTCCAACCCTAACCCCTTAAGAAAGGTTGGGATAGTCCAGACAAAGGTGCTCCCAATATGCCTAAATATTGATAACCTAATGGAGTAGAACAGGATCACAGTTTTACAAAACAAGCATGCATTAAAAATAGATATGTGCAAGCTCTTTGAAATATCTAAGAAATACAAACATGTTCATTGTGGTGTCAAGTTCACTTTACAGTAACAACTTATTTAAGGTATCAACATGGGTTGTCATACCATTAACCCCTTCATGATGGGAGACGTACACTGTATGTCCCCGCCCAAATGACTGATCACATGCACTGTACATGATCAGCTATTTGGGGCTCTGTAATGCTGGTAACCACTGAGAATCAGCGGTTACTGTTCATTAATGGATGCCTCAGTATTGAGGCATCCATTAATGAAAGTGTTAAACCTTTTAAGACACCTGATCCCTTTTAGGAATTGGGTGTCTGACAGTGAGAGCAGAGTGGTATTTACAGCTCTTGCCATCACTGACAGTTGGCATAGATCGGGAAATCCCAATGTATACCAGCTTTTTTTCATAACATTTCAGCAATAGAAACATTTAGCTGCATGTTTCTATTTCAGAAACAATGTTGCAGGCTTCTGATTGTTGTGGGACTGATCAGTAGCCTTAGTGACATCTGAACATGAAATGCTAAAGCGTCAGTGTCACTAAGGTTATTATTGGCTGTTCTTAAGTTTGAAGCAGCCTAATAATAACCAAAAATTAATTAATTAAATTAGCAAACAGTAATAGTGAGATTAATTCACAATGACTGCTTGATATCATTAAAAAAATAAAATAACTATTTAAAAAATGTTTAAAAAAATTGTGAAAAGTGTAACAAAATAAAAAATAAATGTAACAAGTTAAAATGACATATTTAAATATATTTTTATACTATCATTAATATAAAACTTAACCCATTACAATGAAAATCTGCAGCTGAGCTGCAGATTTGTTTTTCACCCTAATTTGTTTTATTTAACCCCCTCATGACAGCAATATTCAAAGTATGTCGCTGTCAATAAGTGTGACACTTAAGGGTCTAGTCACTAAGCTGCCGTAGGCAGCCAAGTGAATGACCGACCTGAAGTGAAGTGAGCCGAACACTGTTCGGCTATTCACTTCAGGCTGGTATGGCTGATTTCAGCCGTATATTGGCTGAAATCAGCCGTACATCGGCTTGCTTCGCATGGCTTCGGGTCGGCCGAACATGCTCAGCATGTTCGGCTGACCCGAAGTGCAGAAGGAGTTCGACTCAGCCGATCCAACATCTGGATCGGCTGAGCCGAACCTCCGGCAGGCTACTCACTGCTGTTCGGCCTATTCTTATAGATGCCGAACAGCAGTGAGCGAATAGCCAAATGCCGCTGAACGGCATTGGTCTCGGCTGTTCTGCTCGGTCCCTCAGAGGGACCGAGCAGAACAGAAAAATTGTTAAAAAAGTTAAAAAAAGTCAATGGAAGGTAGACATTGAAACCCCCTGGAATTCTTTCTTCTTCTTTATGAAGGTTTAACTTTGGTACAATTTGCAACAGTAATGCCTAATTAGCATCAAATTATTACAGTACATATTAGGCAGCAAACACCAGGCAAGCATCACATATTCTTGTATGATCATGCTTTTAGAGACAGTTTTTTTATAAGTTCAGTTTGCAACCATGTTACACTTGTAGAATGTATTCACACTGTATTACAGTTAAACACTGAAGTGGAAATTCAAGCTACAAATTCTTTGCCAACGATATGAAGGTTAAAAGTTCATTTTACAGTTACTATAAAAATATACGGCCAACAGCTGATTCACACTTCTAGGATGCTTCCTTAAGACAACCACAGATCTCCATTTTAAAGTGTGAAACAACTGTTGGCAGGATGTTTTTAAGTTGGCTACAAGCAATGCACTTGTAAACTCTGACCATAAACCTATATCTGACCTAATATTTTGTTTAATTTCTACTGAATAATAAAACATCATGTTATCGAGTAAAAGAAAGCCTTTAACTAAAATCTTTCTTTTGCTTGTATATTTGAAGGATTAATGGGGTTAATCAATATGTTAAAGGACAGTGTGAAAAATACAAAACCTTTAAGCAACAAATCAGAAATAATCTCTCACTGTTCTAACTGCAGTAAACCAACTAGCTTTAGGTCACTGCTCAGTGCAAATGATTAACGTTTTGTGTACTGATTTCATAAATAAACACATTATTGTTATTAGA